TTAGTGGTCGGTGGTGGTAGAGAGAGAGAGAGAAGAAAGTGGGGGGTGGGTGATGATGTTCGAGATAAGGTATTCTTTCGAAGCAATTGCAGTGTTTTGCAAGAGCTATAAGGCGATCGAGGTACTCTACTCAGGTTTAAATCCATTGTGATAGTTTTGTTGTAAAAGTTTTAAATCAATATGATATACATAGCACAAGTTTTAGATCACACGAGATACTTGGCATACCCTTTAAATCAATTTGCGAACTTCGTATGTGATCTTATTAATGTCAAGCGGTTAACCGAAGGTCTCACGCCCCTACATAACACGGACAACGCTGGCGCTAAGCACACATTTACAATCACTAATGACTCCCCATACACGGTGGGAGTGTACACTCACACAAACGAAACATATACACTATACACTCACACAGACGAAACATACACACTCACACAGACGAAATATATACACTATACACGGCGAGAGTGTACACGCACATAGCTACCACCGACGCGAGTCTGCTATGCCCACACACACGCGTACATCCCTACCTTAGAAGCCGCAAGCGTGCCAAAGGCCGCGAAGAAGTTGAGTGACCCCATCATGATATCTGTTTGCACGTTACTGAGCTGCAGTGTAGCCTGCAGCGAGTGCACAGCACCACTCATGATACCTTCATCGTAACCCAACAGAATAGAGGCACAACACGCCACGGAGATGGAGATGATGATCTTCCAGGGCACTACGGGATGGGGGGGGTGGGGCAAAGTATGAGATGGGTGGATGGGGAGGGAGAGGGATATGCTTATGCACTATCATTACATATACACATGTACAGGCATACTTATGAAATATCACTACACACACACATGTACAGACCCACTTATGCACTATCACTACACACACACATGTACAGGCCCACTTATGCAACTAGAATGTACATGTATGTACATGATGTCTTACCTGTGCGTATTTGTGCGGAGTTGACCAGTCCAGTATCCGAACCATCACTGTCTACCCCGGCATCATACTCTGGTCCCGCATTGGTACTGTTCACGCTGTTGTAGATATCACTACAAGTACATACAAATGCACATGAGTGTGCACCCCAGGCTGTTACTATACGTTCGTTAGCACAGGTAGATATGAATGGTATGGAACTCCGGTAGATGTGATGCCCCATATTTCTAAGTGTTTCGCAAAGAGAAGCAGTTGTTACGATGCATTCGTTTACTTCCCACACACAGATATGTCTCGTAAAGCCATAGAATGTGCATGAGGTGTGGGGTGGAGTGGGTCGTAGGTATGCAGTTGCCAACGATCCGAGCTGAATGTGAAATGGTACTACATATGTGTACAGAGTAAAATATACTTGCGTAATTTATACATATATAGCACATGTATTTATATGTATGTAGAACAGAAATTGCCTACATGCTTCCATTTTGGAATAGAATAAAATAGCTAACATATATCATATATATATATATATATAC